GTAGGAGAAAAATGTATTTTTAAATTTATTTATAGAAGACACATTTCACGCCCTACTATTTTGGGTGGTAATAGAAAATTGTAGGATTATATTTATGAATGTACAGAAACTTTGTGTAACGTTTTAACGAATATTTGGAGATACGTCTGCTGACTTGTTCTTTTTTTTTTTACTGAACAAGGGTGATCAAGGGGATACATTTGAAAAAATACAATATTAAGTTTCTTCATTGTTTATGAAGATTGTATAGTTTATAGATGTAGATAGGTGTAATATTGTATGAAGGTGTTTGATAATTTGCTATCCTGCCTTGGATTTGAAAGTTTATGCATATGTATTAACTTTTCAAACATGTATAATTTATGAGGCAGAGAAAAGTATTAAATGAATAAATTTAGATATATAATTTGTCTTTAGTCATGGGCAAAGTGCTGTTATAATCAATTACATATTTTAATTATCTATATTCCATAAATTATATATAATTAAATTATGTCAAAGTACTCTTTGAAAATTTTTTAAAATTCAGAATATCTAAAACTGTATTTTGCGATTAAGTGTCAATTTGTAATAATATATGATATAATATTTTGTCATAAAATAATTTGAAATAATTAAAAAAGATAGGACAAAATATTTACTATAAACTATTTATATGTGATATTACATTATGTAAAAATATATCAAAGACTTTTTACACGTAATAATGTAAAGGTGAAAAGCAAAAAGAAATTATATGTACACATAATTTATTATACATATTATATATTTTATTGAAATATATGTGTACATATAGTTTATTATTTAAATACATTGTTATTTTTTTATACATTAATTTTGTATTATGTATATGTATAGTGACAATACTTTTATTTTGAAATGTATGTGTGGAAACATTTGAGACGTAGGTACAATTCGATCGACATATATAATAAGCAAAACAATAAGTTATTAATTAAGTATCATTTCGTAAATAAATTTACACGAAGTAGAAATAGATATCGAATGTATATTGGAACATTTATCTATTGGATATTAATATTGTATATAAAACATGTGCAAATATCAAATTAATGCTAAAAACAATATAATTTTGGTATCAGTTATAGTGTTGTATTTATTGTATTCTATACAGGGTTACAGTATTGTATTTTATACAGAGATCCATAAGTACAGTTCAGGGCATTATGGATTAGATAAACATTTTAGGAAAATTTCTTAACTGAATAAAATGTTTAACTTTGTTGAGAACAATGGTGGATACGTTGAGTAGATTATACAAATAAATGCTTTTGTTTTGCTCTGTTAATTTTTTTTTCTACATTGCTAAATTTGTGAATGATTAGCTCGCCGATATACTCAAGTGTCTTTAAAATTCCCGCCGTAATATACTGCTGGGGCTTCGGTCAGGGCCAGCTCATTAAAGGCCCGATCCTAGGTCCGATTTTTATTCCCGCACTGGATTAGAACTGTTTCCAAGTAGAACAAATCGAAATGATCATTAAATCATTTTTCAATAATTGATTTTATTGCCATTTTGACGTTATCGTGATTTGTTCTACTTGAATCTTTTTCTCTTTCATCAAATATTTATCTCACTTTAAGTTTCAAAAGTGTATATTAGTTTACAGAAAACAGACCTCTGGTACTTTCAGAACTCGGAATTAGGATAGTATTCACAGTCCAATCTCATATTTAAGATTGTATTAAAGATTACTATAATTTTGAAACAGGCACTTTATTCGATTAAACTGGATTATAGATTTTTAATCTAAAACTAGACTTAAGATCTTAAATTAAAGATCACACAGATTATGAATAATTTCCAACCATTTTTTTTCATCTCACGATGATTTGAACCAACTATCTCAATCGACGATTGATTCAACCGATAGAATCGCAAAATTTCTGATTATACAATTCATCATCCGGTTAATCCATTATTTCATATATTAAACGAACGTTATAATAATTTTATTAACGTTAACGAAATAACACAGGGCTTTAATGGCTCGATAAATTAATCGTCGATTAAGTTAGCCGGAGTTCGATCAAAATCGTCTGCACGAATTTAATTTCTATCTATATAAAAAAAAACGGAGGAGGGGTTCCTATTTAGATAGAAGTTACGCATCCCAAGGTATACAAATTGAAGCATTGCATAAAGGACTATACATAATAGAACGTGTTCGTAATTAAAAACCAAGTTATCTCGCGAAATTTAATTGTCTCGAAATATCCTTCTGCGCGCGCGGTCTGAACCCCAAGAGCCGCCTTGGGGTCGGCAGCGGGGTGGGGGAAGGGGAGGGGAATTGTTGCCGTGATCCCTCGCGTGATCCGCGCCTGAGCGAGCGCCGCTTATGCGCGGTGCCCCGCGTAAATCGATGCGCGTCGCGGACTTTCGGCCAGCCAGCCAGCCAGCCAGTCCGCGCGATAAGTGTGTGCGCCGGTCGACACTGGTCGGCACTCGCAATTGCCTATCTGGTTCCGCGTCCGCTGATGCCCGCTGAGCTCCCCGGAGGCATCCCGTCGCGTCTTCACCAGGGATCCCAGATCGCACACTCGTGTCGTCAAGGACAGGCCCAGCCGACCGCGTCGCTTAGGTAGGATTGCGAAACGTTCGAAGGACAGAGCCGACGGTCTCTCGCTCTTGTCCCGCGGATACCGGGACCAGTTGACTCCGCTCGCGTCGTCTTCGTCGGGGCGACGAGTCGCTTGTCTCGAATCCGGTCGAGGCAGGTCGGGGGGGGAAACCGGTGAGTTTCCGATTCCGGTGAGTTTAGTAGGACGTGCGAGAAACGACCCTGACGAAGCACCGGCACTCCGGAGCGGATCTTCTCGAAGCAGGACGACGGTAGAGGAGCGTGAATTATTTTTTGAAAATTTCCGACGAAATCTACTGAGAGTGTTTTGCATACTCGGGCATTGACTTGGCGTTTTTATTTCTCTGCGGCTATCCTGCGGAAGGTACATTTCGTCTATTATACTGGCCGTTTTGCTTTCGTGAGCTCGGCAAGTTGCCAATTGAGGAAGAAGAAGATAGAGAAGTGCGAAAAGCGTTTACGAAAGATGTAAATCTTGTCGCGAATAGAGCAGCGATCATGTAACTTTCCGTATCGCAAAGCGTAGCTTCCCAGCAAACAGGTTGACATTATTCCTCATTTTATGTCTTAATATCATTTTGACATCAATATGACATAAAAAAAAATAATCTTTTAGTAATCATTTTGGGGCCATTTTGACTTGAAAATAAGTTTCTGCTTAAGTTTTGAGCAAACAAGCTGGCGTTATTTGTCGTCATTTTGACGTTAACATGACGTCAACATGACATCGAATGGCTCCAAAATGACTACTAAAAGTCGCGCTTATTTCGATCATTTACGATTCATTTTAATCATCATTTTGACGTTATCAATTTGTTCTGCTTAGGTTGTGTCCACGATGCTACCTTCATACATTATACTTCATCCGGAACATTCTAGGAACGTCCCCTGAACGTCTTTAGGACGTCTCGTAAAAGTCTGTGCTGTATGAATAGAAATCGCTTTGAGATCTCGGAGACAGAATTGATTAGTTGATTGAACCGTTCAAATATAATTTGTTAATTCTTTTTCCATCCGAGACCTCGTAACGATTTCTAGCATCGTGAACGAAAGGCTTAAAGAAACGAGATTCCTTTGGAGATTTCGAATTCCCAGATCGGTTCACAGAACACGACGCTGTAGGCTACGGAAGATGCGGTTCCTGTGCGCGAACAGAAAAGCAATCATGTAACTTTTATCTTGGAGCAGAAGCGTGAAAAGTCAAAAGTTTCTTCATTATCCCACCTCCCCCGTACAGACCTTCAAAGGATGTTCTGAAGACATTCAGAAGACGTCTTTACGTTAAGGACGCTTCTAGAACGTCCTCGAATATAAGGTCTGTTTTTTTCCATACTCCAAGACTGAACTTGCACTGTTCTGTGAAAAGAAAAGGAAGAAGGATGAATCATGCAAGAAGTTCAGTCCTGGGATATGGAAAAAATACAGGCCTATCTGCTGTGTGGCCTTCGATGATAACAGTTTTCATTTTTCACATTTTCGCTTCAGGGAAAAAGT